CTGATATTTACCACGCAATTCTGTGAGAAAGTAGAGGCCTAAGATGCTCCAGATAAATGGCTCAATTAATTGTACAGAGGTAGACCTCTTTGAGCTGAGCCAGAGCTGTGAGCTCTTTATTAAAAGCACTATTCTGTAGCCCATAACCTTGTTCCTTGACTCCTCTCTGGTTTCCAATTTAAACAAGTCCCCATGCGGCCTGCTCTAAAGGGCTTTGTCTCCCTGTCATTGTTAAGAGAGCTGAGGCATCCTGGAAGTGTGAAATCAGACCTCATGAGTTGAACGGTTCCCCAGGGAACGCCGGACTGCGCAGAAGGTCAAAGTCATGGGCCGGACCATCTAAAAGTGTCTGATCGCCGGTCTGTGACACAGCAAGTTGCCTTGGGGGGGGGCTAGACTGAAGAGGACTGAAATTGAACACATCTTAATTAAAGCCCACAGACAGCAAAACAAAATGTTTTCTAGGCAGCCTGTCAAATGGGGCTTAAATTTAGCTCTGCTAATGAATCCGAGCTGCTAACTGTTATTTCTTAAGATAATAAGACTCTCACGAAGCTGATAAAAAAACTGTAGCATGTCTTTTTCTGCTGTTTTGTTACTTAAATATTTTCCAACAATGAAGACAGTTTTCCTAAAGAAAAACATGGGAAAAGTCTATGCAAATAAAGGGGTAGTAAACATCTCTCTTAATAACTAGTAGGTTTCCAGGCTATGGGGCTGGTGAGTTGCACATCCTTATGTGTAGCCTTGTTTTGGAAAAAGATATGCTCATTTAATGGGACTATTTCAGGGACAGATTATGTTAACTGTAAAATTCTCTCCTTCTCTTCCTTTTTCTCTTTCTCTCCCTCTATTGTTTCCTAAAAGAGATGATGCATTAATTTGAGAGATCAATTCACCTGGGGTAGGGTTTTATATGCGTGTACCTTTTAATTCAGTGAAAAGATAGGGCATCTTTTGAAAGGTTTCACAGTTCTCCCATATCACTGTTTCTGAAACTGAGTGGCTAGAATCTCTGGGGAGGCTGCGACCTCTTCCTAGGGAGCTCAGAAAAAACAACCCAGGGGAAAATGAAGGGGAGGGGCCGAGGAGAAGAACCCTTTTCTCTTTCTTCTCTTAGAACTTGAAAGAACCAATAGGCCAGGTCTAAATACTCTGCAAAGAAAGCCTCACTTAACACAGAAGACATTAAATGTTCTGTTGAAAGCAGAAATTAGGTCTCATCCAAGGAAAAGAACAATTAGAAGCTAGGAAAGACAAATTTCCCACATGAACTGTTTCTCACCACCAAAAATAATATTTTTTTCCCTCCCATTGGTCTTGCTCTGTTCACAATCTGTCCAGTTTTAAGGAACACTGATTTAGCGGTAGAGAGAATCTTCCCCAGTGAACACAGGGCCAGACGTCTCTAGGTTTTGCTTTGATGGTGCAGAGAAGCATTAACCTTTTCACTGGTTAGCTGAAAGGTAAGTAAGTTGTACTGTGCAGTATTTTTCAGCTAATCAAACTTTTTCCCTCACGAAGAATTTAGCTGACCAACTTTGAAAACCAGAGGAACACTTTCTCAGGCTGTGAAAGGCTGCCCACAATTTGACTGAAATTTCAATCCACTCTTGTGCCTTGCTCAATGCATGTGTATGTGTGGGAGTTGTAAATTGAGGCCTTAACCACCAGAGTTAATCTCTTTTTAAAATCTGTATTAACCTTAATGATTTGAAGTGCACTGTCCAACACTGGACTATTGAGACTGAAGAAAAAACTACCCTCGACTATCAACAGTTTATTAGAGGCTTAACTGAAGTGACCTACTGTAGTAGCGTTCAGCTGAACACGGCTATAGGCTTTTTGTGGAAAGGGAAAGAATTGAGGGTTTCATTAAAAAGTAATTTGTGCTTTATACTCACTCATTCAAAGAGAGTCTCAATTGCTCTTTATTCACACAGAGTTAATACAGTATCACAATGTTTCTCAATGAATGTGTTGTAACAAAAGAAAAATTTTACATTTTGAAAGGAAAAAATTCTTTGTAACTGCAGTAAGATTGATGGCTACTTAAAAGATTATAGAATCTCTTTTTCCTGTGCTCATGTTAAATGATGGAATATTGTAATTTAAAATTTTTTGCTTAAACTATGGAAGTTTAACTTGATGTTTTGATCACTAAAAATCTTTTAAAATTAGAACAAAGTTGGTCAAATATAAGTTTGTCTTGTCAGACTTGTCTAGGAAAAAAAAGTGTTCTGAGGCCAACCAAGCATCTTATTGTAATAGCCTCATTTATACCAGGTCGGAAAATATTCTTTGCTTAGCACAGAGAGTTATCAGTGATTTAAAATGTCCCCTCTCCATCCATAACACTCCGAAAAGGATGCTAATTTGAGGATTTGAAGACAGTACTATTTACTCAATTCCTTTTTTTTCAAACTGTTGCCTAATATCTTGTAGGGCTTGACTATGATTATCCACTGAGATCTATAACATTTTTTAAAGTTCTTTGAAGAAGTAGGAGGTAAAGAATACAAAGAGCTTATTTGTGCCCCAAATTTAATGATAAAGACCAGGAAGGATTAGTACACATATAAATATTTATCCTTTTTAGAAGTAAAGATTATTTTAAAAATTGGTAGTATATTCAGACATTTCCGACTTAAATATACGGTCCTCAGTTTCTGCCACCATCACAAATGTCATAAAGACCACAAAAGGTCCAAGAGCGAGCAAGGTCAAAGACTGAATTATCCCCTTGCTCCTGAATAGTTCAACATCTCTCTTGTTCAATTCAGAGCACATTAGATTATAAGGTCAGTGTGGAATGAGGAATCATTAGATTTATATCCCTAAAACTGGAGGGAAAAAAATGGAGAATCTGTTATTTAGTATTCCCCAAATTAAAGTTCATTTTATCAAATCAAAATTATGTTTCATTGAATACCTAGGGATAAGGCTATTGTTATTCACATTAATTTACACAGAACCATTACCAAAGAAATATATCTCTTTTTTCCAGTTTTAAAAGAACATATACTTTAACTTCCATAGTGGCATATAGGCCAACTGGGTTCACGTAGTTTGCATATTCATGAAGTTTTAAAAGCAACAACAGCTTCTCTCCAAGAGAGACAAACTTATATAATTGCACTCAATTTGTGTAATGGGCAGGTATCTAGGCTTTTGAAGTAAATGGGACTTGAATTTTTCTATAAGAAATTATTGTGCCCACTATAAATGTCCAGTGATAGTTCTTAGTACTTAGGTGCCCTCTGAGATACTGATTATTTTGGGCTTTTCTCCCTATCTTGAGATGTTTTCAGCCCAATACTGGGTGCTCCACACCCCTACAGAAAATCCCAAAGAAGAGTGAAGGTGAATGATGGTGAATTTCACTGCTGTGATTTCCTGAATCTACCTGCTGCGGGGAATCAGAGGCTAGGTATAACCTCTGCAGTGTAAAAGGAATACTGCGTTCCTATGCCAGTCTTTAATGTCCAAAGTGAACAAAAAAAGAGCAGTTAGTCAATCATTCACATTGACTGTTGGTTCTAATGATAAATGCAGCTTAATAAAAAAAAAAGAAATTACTGTGTCCAGATTAATTTGATAATAACCATACCAGAAATAAAAAAGGAAATAAATAAACTTAACATTCACTAATTGCTTAATACAAGGAGCCAAGTCAGCATATATGCAAAAAGATTACAAACTACCCTCTCTCCCACTGTGATCAGGTATGTGTTCAGGTATGCCTATTTTGAAAGAACATTCGACAGTTGTTATTACCTTCTTGGTTACAAATGAGTTGGTAATTACCTCTTTTAAAAAACCATAAGCTCTCAACATTTTAATTTTTATCACACAATAAATAGTCACTTGATACCATGCAAACACTAAAATTCTAAAAATATTGCCATTTTGGAGCAGACATCTGCTATTTTAGTTTTAAGGCATGCGATCTTTTAATTTAGTTTTGATTCTGTTTAATGAATTAAAGAAGGGGACCAGCGGTCATGTAACTGATTTGCAAGCCCTTAAATGGTAGGAAAAGTACATTTCTCCCTTTCAAATAAGTCAGCTACCTTTTTAAGGTCAACTTGCTAAACACTCACAATGGTAAGCATATTTCCCCAAATAATAAGTAGATACTTTCAGGAACAGTGAAATTTGCACAAAAATTAGTCAAGTCTGTCCTACTTATTATCCATCTTGAGATGGACAATTTAAGGAATGGTATAAACATTTCCCAGATCCTTATGAAATTAAACAATAAATGAATCATCACATAATTGCAAATTCAAAACAATGATTTAATTCTGGAAATTGATGAAATAATTACCATCAGCCAATTAAGCAATATGTCATAGAAACAGCAATATTCAAATCAGGAAGCTTTAAGAGACAAGACTAATTTTGGCGTTTTTATAAGCCTATTTCTTGGTTTAAAAAACTTAGAACAATCTAGATGCTTAGTTTAGATCCAGAATTATCTCTGGGATGTGCTAAAGAATTTGGACAACTAAGGAATTGGATCAGCATCCCAAATACCAAGAGTTCATGCCAACTAATTGAGGATTATGCATCTAAACTTTTCAGTGAACTAGGCAACAGATTTCACGCATGTTTGAATTACAAGTGTTGATACTATGAAATCATCTGAGGGAAACTGATACTGTCTGAGAGAAGATACAGCATTACTCCAAAATGCGAAAATGATGAAATCTGGAAGAAATATTCCATGTTTGCTGAACCTTGGAGAAGGCAACAATTCAAAGTTATTTTGCTTTTTATTGTTTATTTTTAATATATTACCCTTCTTTTAAAAAGCAGAGACTAAAAAAAATGAGGTGGTTAGTAGATCTTTGTAAGATCAAACCCGAAACTTTATATTTACATTATTTACTTTGATGATCCAGTCAGACAAAATGCAGAGTTCGATCATTAGATGGTCTAGAACTTGCAAGATGCTTGATATATATATGCAACAGGAGAACTGCATCATTTCTTACCTGTGACATCAGCGACCATTAACCCTTCTGCTCTGATTACTTTCACCTGGAGAAATCCCACATCTTTCAGGTTGTGGAATATCCGCAATGGGCTCTGAAAGACACCAACATCAGTATTACGCGAGAAAGGTCCTAAAGGGTCTCAAAGATGTGCTGAGAAAATACTAAGTTTCGTGGTTGACCTCAGGATGCTGCTTAAGTGATTCAAAGGGATAGCTGTGGTTCTTCAATACAAATTACCCTTCCACCATTATGAATGCACTCACACACACACGCACACACACACACACATTTATGTAGCTGTATTTAAGAAGATTTTTTTTTTTTTTTGGTGAGGAAGATTAGCCCTGAGCTAACATCTGTTGCCAATCCTCCTCTTTTTGTTGAGGAAGATTGGCCCTGGGCTAACATCCGTGCCCATCCTCCTCTACTTTATATGTGGGATGTCGCCACAGCATGGCTTGATAAGCGGTGTGTAGATCCAGGCCCAGATTCGAACCTGCTAACCCTGGGCCACTGAAGTGGAACATGCAAACTTAACCACTACACCACCAGGCTGGCCCCATAGATTTTTTGAAAGAATAAAAAATACTACAACATTTCTTCTCCATAAATAATTATCCGTAGATTGTGAATAATAAATTATAGAATAGGATATGTCTGCTTTCCTCCTTGAATCTCCTTCACCAAACCACTCCAAGAAATCTCTCATCCAGCAGTATGATGGTTTGGAGACTAATGATTCTTAATATTGAATCTTAAGTTGTTGGTTAGGTAACACACTTCACACATTGGGAGTAAGAGTCTACATTAAATTAATTAATCTTTTTTTGTGTGTGTGTGTGAGGAAGATCAGCCCTGAGCTAACATCCGATGCCAATCCTCCTCTTTTTGCCGAGGAAGATTGGCCCTGGGCTAACATCCATGCCCGTCTTTCTCTACTTTATATGGGATGCCGCCACAGCATGGCTTGACAAGCAGTGTGTCAGCGTGCGCCCGGGATCCGAACCTGCAAACCCTTGGGCCGCCAAAGTGGAGTGGGAGCACTTAACGGCTACGCCACTGGACCAGCCCCAATTAATCATTTTTTTCTACCATTTTCTTCTTGGTGAGTTCTGGAAATTGCATGTGCTAGATGAGGGTTAAATTATCAAAAGACTGTTTTCTAATATTTAATTTAAAAGACATGTATTTCTATAAACCTTTTAGGTAAAAGACATATAAATCTAAAATAAATCAACTCTCACTAAAAATAAATTCAAAAGTGAGGAGTAATTTTTATTAAAGTTGTCATTTTATTTGCTGTTGTAATATGTATAGTCTATAGAAGAATCAGGTCCAAATGATAAAACCTATTTAATTTCAGAAATTAATTATGGTAGCATTTTAATAAGTATAGGACCTGAAGGAATTAAAAGCAGAATACCAATACAATAATTCAGAACTCTACTTAACGAGCGGAAATACTCAGAGAGTAAAATGAACCTATACAATAGTGATATGCATTTGTTTGTTTACACTTCATAGCATTTTTCTTACGACAAGATCAGCATTTCTACTCATTAAATCAAAGGTACTTCTTTTTCATAATCTTTAAAATGCTTTATGACCAAGGAGCATAACATACTTTTGCATAATAAATTATTTATTAAAATGTTACTAGAGTAAAGAACATTCCCACCCTTGTATTAAGAATGTGAGAATACCGACAAGCCAAAGCATACTGCGATATTAACTTTATCAGTCCCGTATGACTAATCATTGTTTACACTGAAGCTATGACCTTGATGTATCGAGAGAAGGAAATGCAGATAGATGTGTGATCTCATAGCCTAACTTTTAAAAAGGAGTGTTTAGCACAAGGATTAGCTCTTAATCTTTTATTGTTTTTAAACAGTTGTTTATCACCTAAAATCTGTTTAAACTACCCAGATGACAGGGTTCAGTAAAAATGCACTTTTCTCTCCTTTTAAATTCCTTTAAATTGAGGGTTTAACAGTGGGAACTTCAGACAGCAGTATTATAATTCAGAGGTTTGTAGGTACGTTGTCTTTCTAATGCAGTGACATCAGGTTTGGGAAGCTGCTTCTTATCTCGGAGCTTACTGAGTGTTATAAACCAGGTAAGTCTCCTATCCTAACAATAGAGAAAAGTTTTATCAAACGGTTCCTGTCCTATAATTTTCAGGAGCAATTTAAACCAAGTTTCATTGTGACTAAAATAAATATCATCAGTCCTCACGTTTGAGAATCGTTTCATACTGGTAACCTCACTGCACAGACGTATAGCTTCTGGTGCTTCAGCTCTGATGTTCTGCTTCCCATTTGGAGGGGTAATTATTGTTTGAAGGTTTCATTTCCTCGAGTCAGCTGACACGCAGTAATTTATTGCAAACTTCAACTGTTTAGGCCACTGACACATCGATTATAATAAGAACTCCAAAAGAAGCAAAAAACTTAAATATATCGGTTTAAAAATATAACTTTAAGTAATGCTTCATCAAGAAGTATTCCTGCCTTGTTATTTATGGTTATTTTAGAAGGCCTCAAAACCTGGATGGCTTCTGAAGCCAGAAATTTCCATAGCAGAGGAATCTATGATTTGCTGTGAATCCTTTCAGCCCTCAATAGATGGGAAAAGATTGAAATGCTCTGGAGAGGAGTCCTCTTTATTTTTTTAATGAAAGGCTGTATAATATATTTTCTCTATGGCTGCAGCAGCTGTCAGGGAGAGCATCTCAGTTCAGCTCTATTACGAGAAAGGCAATACCCCATCCTATGGCATCGAGATGCTCTGAGGGGCCAGAGCTGATTGACAGCTTGTCACCGTGACGTCTTATTCCATCTCTGTTATGGAGAAAATTAATGTCACACCACCAGCCTTATGACTCGCTGTCATCTTAGAACCGCTCACCTTTTATCAATGCTCTAAATAACATTTCAAGCCCATCGTCTCACGGTGGACAATCCGGTCAAGGGACATTAAATCAGATGACTGTGAAATGTCATAATAAAAATGGAATGCTAACAACTTCTTCTCTAAACTAGCTCCTCTGGTTTTTAAACTGTGACAAGGGGGAGCAAGGGTTCAGCATACCCGTTCTGAAAAGGTCATACAATCGCTCTTGGTCTACTACCCATTACTACCCGCCCCCTATTGACCTTCCCTGCTTTCCTCCCCCCAAAAGAAGAAAAAAAAGAAAAATGGAATTAGCCGTCTTTTCAGAATGGTGATCAAATAATGGCTCACACAGTAATGTCTGTTTAATTCGTGGGGCTTCAATGCTTCGCAATGAACAGCTGAATGACAGCAATGGAGAGCCTTTTCAGAGCTATTTCATATGACAGTGGGGCAATTCATTCAATCTCCTCGCCATGACCAGTGCCAAATCAAATTCTTAAGTTTAACCTAAACTTTAAAAACACATGTCCTCACAGGAAAACATATAAATAATTCTCCAAATTATCTCTTTTATATGTTTCTCCAAGACAAGTGATATTTCAGACATGTTATAGCATTCATTCATTTCATAATCTGTATAATAAAATGGAAACACACTGACCTAAAATATAGGTCTCTGTCCTTGTACTGATATGAGTAATTATAACACATGTGCTATGTTGCATACAGTAGCTTCTTAGCAAATACATCTCTAGAGGGAGATACAAGCCTATGCTTGAAATTTAGGTCTAAAGAGAAAGAATATTTAAACATGGCTCACTTTTTAATATATTGAGCTGAATATAATCTGAGATTTAGCTGGGACACTCACATAATATTTTATATTGTATTGAAATAATAACTAACATTTGAAAGAAGGTGTGGAAACAAATATTCAAATTCTGAATGGAAATGGCTGATTTAAGGAAGCCCATTCAGCAAAAAGAAAAAAAAAAAGAATCAATAATAGTTGGATTATTTCTAATTACCTAGCCTGCAGTATCATTCTAATATATGGGATAGTATCAAATATTAATCCATCAAATACAGTATTATAATACCTAGAATAATTTTTATATTAATATACCAATTAATTCCTTTAAAATAATTTTAATTTATGAGGCTCACTTCTGGTACCAAGAGAATATGTTTTGCTGGGTACCAAAACGTGAAATAATCTTCATAATTGCAATTAGATATTAGACATGCCACACAATACCTTAAGCTCTTAGGTGGTTTAAAAATATATACTATTTAGCCTTGCTAAGTCACCTCTATTAAACTGTTTATGATAACACCATTGGTGGATGAGTTGTACAAGCATTAGCAGACAGCTGATTCAGTGGAGATAGCCAGAATAAATTTGCTGAAGTGCACATCCTGCTAATCTGTTTGAAGAATATTGTAGAGCATTAGTACCAGCACTTCATGTTATCTGCACAGCCTGATAAGGTACATCTTTATTAAATTCAGTTATTGAAAGGATGTCAGTCAGCAAATAGGAATATTTTAAAATCTAAAAAAAAAAAAATTAAGCAGTTCTTTGTTAGTCAGAGCTTGGTTTCACGGCTGAGTATCTAGAGGAGCCTTCTAAACACCTGGCAGCATTGTACAATACAAGCTTTGTAATTTTAAGTGGAAAAGCTTTCTCCCCAGCTTCATGGGTACTGAGGCATTCACTTTTTCAAGCCTCCATTGAGAGAACCGTGGAGTAAGAGCTCCCCTCTCTGTTGATTCAAGAAAACTACATGGTGGGAAATGCATCGTGTGAGGACGCTGGGAAACAGGTAGATTTAGCTGTGAATATTTTGTTTGGGTAAAATTTGAGAAGGGTACTTATTTTAGCGACTCACTATTCCACCCTGTCACTCTACATTTGATCAAAAGGTAAGGATATTTCCTTTTAATTTTATTACACATTCAATTAAAAAAAAATTAAAGGAATAAAGTGAGGCTTTCCTAAGCAGTTGAAAATAAAAATTGTTTCTGTGAATAACCTGTAGTTACCAAGCTACTATTTAATGTAAGTGCCATTAACTCTGTTTCAAAGTTGGAAAGACAAAGAAATCTTAATTGCAATGACAAAGAGTCAATGAATTAATTTTAAAGTAATGTTGTGTAAACTTGACTTTTCCTTTATGGGAAGTTTCCCTGCATGATAATTTTGCTGCATGATAAAATCACTGAGGAGAATCTCAGAATCTAGAAGTTGCCCTGGAAGAGACTCTAGAGGAGACAGGCGTCTAGACATCACTAGGTAACGCAGGTGCTTCTGCAGAGCTATGTGTGGCGTGTGCATCTGCTCAGCTTTCTGCTTCTGCTGATTCATCTGTCAGACAGCTCTTCAGATGTACTTCTGTCACTCCAGGTAAATGATTTACAACCTCATCTAGTCACACATGACCCCGAAGGAGGAGGGTTACATACGTACATATCTCTTTAATATTGCCTCCCGCTCTTTCTGGTCCTCCAGGGAGTTGATGGAGAGGTCAGAGATACTGACTGTGGCCGAAGCTGTCAGGGTGACCAGGAGCACCAGGTGTCCCTCACCCTCTTCCAGCTGCAACTCCAACTTGTGTGTCTGTTCCCTACTGAGGGCCGACAGGTCGACCTGGCACCTAGAAACAAATGTTTTGAATTAGCAAGTGTCTTCCCCCTCTTCCCCCATCCCACATCAAACAGTAGAAATGCAGGCTGCTCAGAGCTATGTGAAAAATAAATCAATAGAAATACTATTCGCAACACTGGAAGAATATGTGTTTCATGTCAGCTGACTTTCTTCACAAAATTCAGACGCTGATTATTTTAGTGTCTAATTCTCATTTCCTGTAAGATATTAAAAAACGTGTTTATCTAATTTGATTACTACCCATTGTCACCATATTCATAAATCGGCGGGGACTTCCAATCCCTAGATGGCCGAGGTCAGTGGGGCTCTGCTTACAGAAAGACTAACATGAGCTTTCTAGAGAGGCAAACTACTGAGAATCTGAATTTTTTGTGTCACTTGTAAAACAATGGGTGCTTTTTCCCTCAATCATAAATGTTATTAAGCAGTGAATAGAGTATGTACTATGGTGACGCCATAAGTTTTACATTTTTAAAACCATGCCAATTTATTCATAAAACACTGCATAAATCTAAATAATAAACAACAAATCCTCTAAAAACATTATAGCTCGAGTGTTATGTGCCAGAGTTGTCCTAAGAGAGGTTTCATAACGTGGCAGCCCAAGCTCGATAGGCCCCTCTCTCAGAGCTCAACACCTCGCAAAGTCTTTTCACAAAAATGTCAGTTGATTCGGAAGAGAAAGATACTGTGGTGACCACAAGGCGGATAAACTGAGAGAAAGGGGGCAGATATGAATGAAAGGCATTTAAAACAGGAAATAGCCAATTACAAAAATAACTGTGGTAACATATCACAACATAACAGGGGGGTCAGCTAATAGGGAAAGATTCAATTTTTGCTCCTTCTTATTCTTTACTCTTTTTATTGTTTATTGTTTTGCTTTTAAATTATACTCCTATGAGTAGGGCCTCAATGATCACAGTTGGGTTCAAACACCTCTTTAGTGTGAGTAATTTTAGAAATTGGACCAAAGTCGGACATTTACCTTTTAATTTTGCCTAGCAAAAATGACATGAGAGATGGTCAGGACTAGAAACAATCGGGAAGAAGAGGAATATAGATGCAAGAAACAAAAAAGAAAAGAAACACTCTGGTCAGTGATAGAAAGTCTTCTATGTGCCAAACGCTAACTACTGGGAGAGCAGGAAAATTAGGGTCTGTACCAAGTCTGGAAAACATCTTCCTAAAGTTAGATGTATATCCAATAACCTCACTGTTTCTGTGAAGACAACATCCATTTCAAAATACTCTCATGCTGACTCCTCAAACTCTAAAGGATGAGAACACATCAAATGCCTTATCTAATACTCTAATTTTAATTGGAATTAAGTTCTTGTCAGTAACACCTGGAACAAATGGAGGGAAAACAAAGCAATGGTGAAAAACAGCCAGTCAAATGTATTCTGTAATCAAAAGGAAAAACATGAATATGATTTTCTACAGATCTTTCTAGTATCTGGCACAGTGCCTAGCCTGTAGTTTGCTGAATGTGCATGAATCTTTGGACTAGGTTGGGAGTACAATACTAGAGAAATGAACAAGGATTACAATTCAGAGAGTACTTTTGGTTGGATCAAGTTAGAACCAAGAAGGGTCTTTCATTCGCTTTGTGCATTTCCCAGTCCCATCCTTGCCTTTGTCTTTTGTACAACACTGCCTCACTCTTACAACACTAAAACACATTGATCCCTTCTGGAGGATTTCCTTCTATGCTTATGACCATTTTGCACCGGTCATATAGATGTTGGTCTACTCCTCATTTACATTAGAGTCATTGCTTTTAATGCTTTAGAGTTGAGGAAGGTGCTGTACAGATGATCTGGTCCAGGAATTGCAAACTGGCAACTTGCATCTCTAATCTGGTCCATTGGTTTGTTGTTTTTGCTTGTAGTGCTAAAAAAAGTTTTGAATTTAAATAATTTTAAAGACAGAGCAAATGCCCTCTGACTTAGTTACTGTCCCCAATACTGTCTATTATTTACAGTTGGCCTATTTCACTTAATTCTGTACCTGGTTCCAATACGTATAAAAATTTGTGATCCTCGCTATCTCCTGAATTTACCAATAAGAAAACTGAGGCCTGGAGAAGTTACATGAGTTAATGGAGATATACAGTTAGTTATTCGCAGAGGCAGGACCTGATCTTGGGATCTGGAATCCAAGTTTGAGGCTTTTTCCTTGACAGTCTGTCATTAAGTAGTCGGGCACCCCAGGAGGAAGTGTGAGCTGTTTGCAGTGGGTCTTAAACTGAATAACATCTGCGCTTGTTTTTAACAGAAAAATTATCTCAATTTTCTAGCATGGAATAATGTTATTTTTATGCTTTTAAAATATATATAAACTAGGGAAGAAGGCTGTAAGTTATTGCTCTTATAATATTATAAACTAAGAAAAATTTACAAATTGAATTTTAAAAACCATGAAACTAATAACATTTAAATTAACATTATAAATTTATAGGGAGGATTATGCTTTTCTGCTGCAACTACATTTTCAGTATTGGGTCTACTCGTAGAAACAGTCTCAGGTCCTGTCCTATATTTAATGTTTCAGAATTTTGACTTTAATAATTCTAATGTAGAAAATGCCTATTTATACAAATCTATTGGGCAAGAGAATATTAATGACTTCAAGCTTCCTTTTGCTAGCTGAGGTTATTCAGATCTCCTATTCACCTAAAATCTCTGCTCAGGGGTAATCCTCAGATGCCATTTTAAATGAAATTGTAGGGGCCGGCCCGGTGGCGCAAGTGGTTAAGTGCGCGCGCTCCGCTGCGGCGGCCCGGGGTTTGCTGGTTTGGATCCCGGGTGCGCACCGACACACTGCTTGGCAAGCCATGCTGTGGCGGCGTCCCATATAAAGTGGAGGAAGATGGGCACAGATGTTAGCCCAGGGCCGTCTTCCTCAGCAAAAAAAGAGGAGGATTGGCGGATGTTAGCACAGGGCTGATCTCCTCACAAAAAAACAAAACAAAAAAATAAATAAATAAATGAAATTGTACCTGATAACCAACAAAATTTTCCTGTTAATTTGAGGGTAAAGTTAGCATTATAGCATCACTGAAATCTGCATTAAATGGGCATCAAATCAAATTATTGCTGGAATTGGTGGAGAAAAAGCCTTTTCTACCCCTTTGTTGCTACTGAATAAATATGTAAAAAGATGGAACTCCTGCAATATAGTCTACTGCAAAGTGAATTCAGTACTAATTGCCATGAGCCAGTGCTACGGTTTGAAAGTTTGCATCCCTCAAGTTCATATATTGAAATCTAATGGCCAATGTGATGGGATTAAGAAGTGAGGACTTTGGGAGATGATTAGGTCATGAGAGTGGAGCCCTCATGGATGGGATTAGTGCCCTAATAAGAGGTCCCTGGGAGATCCCTCACGCCTTCTGCCATGTGAGGACACAGAGAAAAGACGGCAATCTATGAACCAGGAAACCAGACACTGAATCTGCTGGTATCTTGATCTTGGACTTCCCAGCCTCCAGAACTGTCAAAAATAAACGTCTGTTGTTTATAAGCCGCCCAGTCTACAGTATTCTGTTATAGCAGCCCAACAGGCAGATTCGCTTGTGTTTGGTTTGCCTGCACCGTCATGTCCTGAACAAAGGGAGGATTCACTATGCTTTGGATATAGAAGTACTGAGTGGTCATCCAGATGGTTTAGAATAGGCACAAATTAATGGTTTTATATTGTTGTCACAATGAAAATGCAAAATTTTAAAAGTATTGAAGCAAATTCATGAATTCCAAAAATACGTACAGATACGTCACAGGAAACAGAGCCCAGGGTTGGGAGTCAGATTCTCTTGGGTCTAGTCCTCCATCTGTCACTAATCAGTTGTATGACCTTTTCCAAGACAGCTTATCCTCTTGAACTCCAGTTTCCTCATCTGCATTGTGAGGTAATTGAACTAGGTAGACTTCAAATTCTCAAAAAGCCCGAATTCCATAATTTGTTATAATTCTATCCATGTTTACACTTGTTTACATCTTCCTTTCTTTGCAATTACACAACCAAAAAACAAAGAGAAAAAATTGATCTTATAGGCAATATTATTCCTCAGATGTATTACTAAATCGCCCCCCCCCCAATAAAGTCTGAATGTTGGTGCTAGAAGGCAGATAACCTAATTTCAAATTGTCTTCCCAGGAGCACTAGGGGTGCCTCAAAGTTCACCATGGGGGGACGGGGTGAAAAAAATGGAGTGTGGACTGTCCTCTTTAAAGAACAACTCTTCTTACATCTGTTTTATTTTGGGGTTCCACATGTACGGTTTGGAAACTTATTGGACACATCTTATACGCCCCCTCAGAGTCTCCTGGAGCCATGGTCTCCTAGGTCCTCAGCTGCCTGCTTTCCCTCAGCTTCGACTTTGGCTGAGCCTTCCCAAGGGCCTGCTCTTCATCCCACCACCACGACCCATCGGCTGTGCTTGCGTCTTCATAGGTCTTCCACTAGGACGGGCTGAACTTTCACTTGCCCCAAAGGCCTGGGCACTCCTCTTGGCTGCCACTGTGCATCTAGGCCTAACTGCTACGTGCCCCAAGTTTCTGGCTTCTAAGACTACTTCTGCACTTGGATGAAAAACCACATTATGGGGTATGGGATCTGGCTCCATGATCAACTGCCAAAGAAGCCACATGAAACAATGCAGAAGTTGTCTCTTGTGAGGTGAACTTAAATCAATGGAATAGGAGAGGGGAAGATAACTCTCCACACCTTCCTCCCTTTCACAAATTGTTCCAAAGCATGATTCCCCATATTGCCTGTCCACATGTGGCCAAGTGAGTGCACACGCCGGGCAACCAGCTGTGTCTCTGAAATACAGGAGACAGTGGCCAGCCCAGTAACATATCACCTTGCATTGCTTCCTAGTCTTCTCTGCCTCATGTTCTTTCTTTCTTACTCTCAGTGCCTGCAATTGTACCTCCCAATAAAGCGTCAGCACTTAATCTTTGCCTTAAACTCTGTTTCCTA